ATTAATAAATCAAAAAATGTTTACTACAGGGAGAAAGCATTAAATCTCCCTTATTCGTGCCACTATTAGAATATGCTGGTGATCTCAGCAGTATGCAGTCCAAACTGGCAAAATTATTGGGTGACTGTGGCTTACCAGAGGATGAGGAGTAATTATGATGGGGAAAACTGGAGGCAGACTTAAAAAAAAAAAAAGTTTTGAACTGAGATGTAACAGGGCTACATTTGTGTTTTAAGAAGGTCACCATAATGTTTATAGTTAGAAAAAATTGTGGAGGGGTAAGATGGGAGCTCAGAAGACCAGTTAGGGGTGACCCTCATCTACCATATGATAGTCTGAGTTAGGGTAGGAAAGTTGGGGTAGATAGAAGTGGGTGGATCTTAGGGATCATTTGGAGGGAGATTCCAAAGGACTTAGAGATAATTGGATGTCGCGTGTAAGGGAGAGGAAGTTTCCATGCATCCTTTTAAGTGACTGTCTGGGCCACTGGAAAGATGGTGTCTATTAACGAAGTCTCACTGGTAGTGTCAGAAAAGACTGAGCATCTGAGCACTGCAAGGTTTGCTTGTTCCTGGATATTGCTAGGCCGATATCAATTAGTGTGTGGGTCATTTGCTGTGTGTGGGAGTGATGGGGTTATTGATTGTTTTTATTCTTTCTTCTTGAGACAATCCCTAATCATACTTGTTCAATAAAGAAAATGAGCTGCCCCCATTTCACTGAATTAAAATCCAAAAATGTACGAAATCATTACTATAGTTTTCACTAAGGAGTTCGAAGAGGAAATCATATCCTCATGCTGCTGACTGAAAATGGGTAATTACAATATATTCTACACATTAGAGCTTATTATTTTTGAAATTAGGAAAACTTCTAATGAAGCCACAAAATTTTATCACTTCGAAGACTTTTAGAGATGACTGACAAATTATTTTACAGATGAAAAAATTGTGGGGGTTAAATTGTTGGCTCAAGGTCAGTTGCCTGGTAGTTGATTATTTTTTTCCTACATTGATGATGATTAGTACAATTAATTTTTTTCTGAATTGATGATCAGTACATTTTAATGATGTACAATGAAAGTGGTGATTAAACAAATGAAAGTGAGTATATGTCATCACAGGGCCCATAAAATTGTTGGTCTCAAAATGCTCTGGTATTTTTGGAGGCAAAATAAAAGCATTCTGACAAATCATCTGAAACAGAATATGGTATAGATTCTGGTCTTGGTGATCATGCCTGCTCCTGAATTCTTTTAAGAGATTTACACACATTTATCCAGAGCATAATTATCTTGATTAATATTGAGAATATGGTATTTATAGTCCCAATGTTTAACAAAGTGCTGCATGATTAGCCTTTTAAAATAATTAACCCTCTTGTATATAAAATTCATAATTTCATTTTAGACTATAAAGTACACTAGTATTTTCAAGTTTAATCACCCCCATATAATGGATTCAGTGGAAGTATGTGTGAGAAGGGTATTACAACTCTGATACTACAAATCAATGAGAAATGAAACCACATTTTAGTTTTTTGTGGCAGACAGATATTTTTCTGATCTTCTGCCATTTGCATTTTGATGTTAGATATGTATTATTTAATTACCAAAAAGATTTAGAAAAATATTTACTAAAAATTAAAATATGCTACTGTATATATACATATTTATTGATTTGATCCCATTTTCATGTGAGAGTAAAAATTCTATCATAGTAAATCAAAACATGGGCTTCCTCTCCATGCCCCACCATGGGAAATAAACAGTAAACTAGTTTTATGTTGCTTATATCTTTGTGACTTCTAATGAGATTTGCCAGAGTATTTTGCCTGATGGACTGTGAACTAGATATGCTATTTTCCCAAAGAGGCAGAACAAAATTCCTTGCATCGCCTTAAATTATCTGAGGCATTGTTTCTAATTTTTGGTCTTGTAACTTAGAAAAGTCCCAGGTTGAATATATTAGGAATTCAACTAGTAACTAGCACAACAGTACTGGAGAAATCAGCAACCAAGAAAAATCAAAGGCTCAGACATGGCCTTGGGCCAGTGGAGGAGACTAAGTAGTGCATCTGGACTTCCACTCTCACCCAGTAACATTAGGGTGCCCTATGCTTAGTGTCAGTGATGGACATAGGGAGCAGTAATAAGGTACCCCCTGAATTTCAACACCTATCTGGCACTACTAAGGAGGAATCCTATTTTCACCTAATAGAAAAGTATCAGAGAAGGCCTGCTAAGACACAAGATTTTAAATAAGATTCAAATTCATTTTAATAATACCTAAATGTTTAGGTACCATGGAAAATCACTCCCCATACCCAGAGCCAGGAAGATTTTAATTTGAATGAGAAAAAACAATTAACAGATGCTGATACTAAAATGCCACAGATGTCAGAATTATCTGACAAGGATTTTGAAACAGTCATCATAAAATTGCTTTGATGAACAATTATATACTTGAGACAAATGAAAAAATTAGAAAGTCTCAGTAAAGAAATAGAAAACCTCAGCAAAGAAAGAGAAGCTATAAAGAAAAAACAAATGGAAAATTTAGAACTAAAATATACAATTGAATCAATGAACTTGGGAGGCTAGAATACTAGAAGTTGTCCAATCTGAACAACAGCAAGAAAGACTGGAAAAAAAAAAAATAGACCCTAGGGACAAATGAGACTATAATAGAAGAGCTAACATTTGAGTTACTAGAGTCCCAGAAGGAAAAGAGAAAAAGGATAGGGCTGAAAAGAGTATTATAAAAAATAATGGCTGAAAATTTCCTACATTATAGACATAATCCTCTGTGTTTTAGCTTAGTTCAAAAAGCTAAGAAAACCCCGAGCACGGTAAAGCCCAAAGACGCTCATGCCAAGACACATCATACTCAAAATTCTGCAAACTAAGGCAAGGAAAACAATCTTGAAAGCAGCCAGAAAGAAATGATACGGGAAATGTACAGATTTTTGGCAGAATAGTCTAGTTACCATAAAATTACAGAAAATAAAAATTTGAGTAGTGGTGACAACTGTAAATTTGTGATTTTTGTTAATTTCAACTATTAGTCTTCTGCCTTTTTGACTGGACTCAAAGCAAGCTAACAAATGTACAGAGAATTTGTAAGACAGCTACAAATTTGTAAGACATCTACCCTGCCCTGGGAGATATTTGTCAATCCTATTATTCCCACTCTAAGTGGAGTGTTATCATTAAAAGCAGAAGGAATTCCATAATGGGAAAAACCCTCACAAAACAAAAAATGAGCAAATACAAGAACAGACACTTGGTATTTGGGATTCCTGCATGAGCTTCAGTTCTGTGAATTCCTTAAAATTAATATAAAAAAATAGCATGCAGTTGCATTTTTCTAGGAAAAGGATCAGATTCTTTCATCAGCTTCTTAAAGAAGCTGGTGGTCCCCCAAAAGAGCTACTCAAAGAGTTTTTCTTAGATAAAACCATATAATCCAACTTAGATGGATGAATAAAATGAGGTTATTTTTAGAATTTCCTCATTATAGCCATTCAAAATTGCTGAATGTCACCCCAAGATAATTCTCTACCTGTAAGGGAAAAATAAGAAAATGGCAGTTTTTTAACTACTTTTAGGCACTTCTGGAGATACACATTCATTAAGGAATGTTTGCCTATAGTCTTATTTTGAACATTTTAAAAATAGTACCTGGAGGTGACTAAATGACTAATGCACTGTGGTTTAAAACGTATGTTAGGTTTGATTTCTCCCAATGCCAATGGAGAAGTTCACACATACAAAGCAGTAGCAGCAGCCTTTCCACATCACTATCAATGGGCTTGTTTATAAGAGAGATAGGACAACTCGCCTTCAATCGGCATCCTTTTTTAAACTACATAGTATATAATTTCCAGTTTATCTGAACAAAAAACGTAAATGCTTTCTCTGATGCAAAAAACAAAATAAGTATGACATAAACATCCAGGTTCTATGTCTTTTCTAACATGGCTGCCCTTTATTCTTTGTATCCTCTATGAAATCCCTTACACATGCCAGGTCCACGCACACCTGGAGAAATGCATACCTGTTTTCTGATTTAAAATTAAGACTCCCAGTATCACCTAAAAAGCTATAGATTTAGAAAAACTTTACTTGCTCCAGTAAGATCCAACATCTTTATTTACCCAAACAATTCTATACTGTCTGCTTCTATAGAATCTAAAGAATCATTAGGAGCTTGTTAAACATAGGCTCCAACCCACAATTACTTACGATACAACCAGGGGAGGGACCTGGGAATCTGAAAGTTTTATCAGGTACTTGGCATGATTCTTTGGTTCTAACAACCTTGAGTAGTTTTCCTTTTTCTTTTTAAGATTTATTTATCCAAACAAGAACTGGGGCACAGGCCAGAGGCACGGAAGGGTGAGCGAATTCACCAGAGACAGAACAGGGAGCAGAACAGGCAGACAACTGAAAACACCGCTGAGGGGAGCAGTGGGCGAGGCAGGTCTGCTGTGCCATGTGGGCATCTTCCCTGGCTGGCCAGGAATCGAACCTGTGCCGCAGAGTCACGGAAAGCCCCACAGTGCTGCGCTCAACCCCTTGCACCAACGGGGAGGCCCTGGAGTAGTTTTCTTAAACTTTCATGTGCATGCAAATAATTCTGGGCTCTTGAAACAAAAGTAAATTCTGATCTGATAGGCCTAGGTGGGTTCTGAGATTCTGCATTTCTAGTAAGCCAATCCATGTGATACTGCTGGATTGAGGACAGTTCAAGAAGCAAGAATAGGAAGACTAAATATCATCTGGCTGGTGTACAGGCCATTACATTTCCCTTTTGTATCTGTGGATTTTTTTTCTAGGGACTTCTCCCACTTGAATATTGCCTATTTTTTATTTTCACTGACTGTGTCTCTACAAGCTAATGTGAACATTTAAGGTAAGGCATCTTGCCCTTCTCCACTTAGCTTATATAAAAGTCCACACAAAGACAAAAGCAGCCTGAAATAGACAGAAATGGACACCACACATTAATTTACAACATAATGGGTTTATATTTAATATAGTACTTTTCACTATGGGATGTTATTCAATTAATACAAAGGTTAGTTGTTTTTTTTCAACATTGAATCCTCTCCATTTCAATGTCAATATAAAGATTTTTTTTCTTTACATAAGTCTTTTCTCCATTGTAATGTTAGATATATTGAATAATTTCTCTGAACTTTTCCCCCAAAGAAATGTTCTAGTTTTTGACTGCATTTGATTATTTAAGTACAGTAATAATGTGGAAGACAGCTAAACAATAATCTACTAAAAATATGAAGAAAAGGTCCCTTAACAATGCAGGAGGCAGTGACTGTAAGCAAACACTGGCAATTTCTTAGGATTCTGGGCAAGAGTTTCCTTCTTATTTCATGTGCCTTGAGAATTCCGAAACTATGAAATATTACTAATGCAGATTTTAGTACTCTTACATCTTTGACCCTCTTCTAACTGATACAAATTATAGGCAGCATTTTTCAATGCATTATTTGTTGTGAAGAAACCATTTTTTCCCCCATTAAACACCTATCAATTTGTTCCCATTTATAGGGAAATTATCCTATTTACTATTTCTTGGGAATGTTTAGACACCAAAGCACATTTTTAACCTTAATTGCACAAAGGTCTTCAGGATAAGGTTTGATTCAGAGAGCTCTTCGAAGTCACATCTGTCCATTTCTTTTCCGTGCATATACACCCAAACAAGCACAAATGCCTGTAATGCTCAGAACCACACCCAACAAGAGAGCGATTGCATCTCCAGCTTCTACTGCTTCAACAACAGGCAGCACCAAAAGCAGCGAAATGAGGACTAAGAACAACTGTGTTGAAACTGAGGTCATGATGTTGGGATCTTGAGGTGTCTAGATCTTGAGGGCTGGTGGTTTCTAGAAATTAAACAGGAAAACAAAAAGGAACCATTAACACTCCTTCCCTTTTCAAATGACAAGATTAAGATAGGAGAAATAACAGTCCACTCAACCTTCAGCTAATTCCTGGGCTACAGCTCTTTTACCACATTCTTCCCACCCCCCAGCTTTATAATGCCAACACAGCATGAATGAACCAAAGAGCAGCTGAACATTACAACATAATTAAGAATGCATAGCAAACGTACAAAATATTCACTGGATAACTTCACATATTCTAGTCAGTAAAAATTACAGTTCTCTGACTCTTCCATTCAGGAAATCCAGACACATAAGGCAAAAGTCACACAACACTTACGTGTGTGAACTTGTGCGGAACTAGCTAAGACTTACCAGACAAACGCGTGAAGTAAATTTCTGACTTGAAATACTCCCTTCCCCAGGCTCCGGATGCTGAAACTAAGAGCTTCCACGTGACAGCGCCTATTATCAGAGCGGGAGAGGATACAAAAAACTAGTCATTATTATTATTACTACTAGTATTATTATTTTAAAGAGCAGCTATAGTTCGTGCAGAAAGGGGAAGTTCACTACGGCAGAGGAAGGAGTAATAAGTAGAGGAACAGTTTGCCCAAGCAGAGGCACTCCTCTTAAAGTTGGTCAATTCGTCCACTCAGGAAAAGCTAAAAATAAACAACTGAAACACGAATTCATTGCGGGACTCGACACAAAGATTTGAAAAACAATCCCTCTTTTGACCCGGTAAGGTGCAAACTTCCCGCCTGTGTTACCTATACACTGTTGCAATCTTATTATTCTCTGCAGACGAGCTCGTACATTACCTTCCAGGAAGCAGCCATTACAGGAATGGCGAGGAGGGCGGAGTCTCCAAACTACATTTCCCACAATTCCCGCCGCCGGCTCTCAGGATGCCCTGACGTGATCCTGCGTCACCGGCTGAGGAAGCTTTTCCGGAGACGGAGACGGAGAGGCGCGAGGTCCCACCATTTCACCACAGCGCCCCGCCTTTGTCTGGTAAAGTGGTTTAGTGTATTTGCACAAAACTCACAATTTAGAAATAAACCCAAGAAATATCAGCAAGTGTTTTTACCCTGGTCAAGGTTTCAAGACACACAGGAGTTATGTCCCGAAGAGATCACCAAGCAGAGCTGTGTGTTTTTGGAAGCTTTTGAAGTGAAAGTGTTATAGAGCAACCCCGATATTAAACGGGTTCCTGGCTGTGTTTCCAATATCTTTGAAGTAGGGAATTTCCTGACACCACCTTCCAAATGTGCCTATGGCATTTATTTGTTAATTCTTTTTAACCAGCGTGGTGGGGAACACGTTTAAAAAGGTGTTGGGAAAACGTTAAAACCACTTGTAGGGTAAAACGGACCAAGTTTAGGAAAAGTAGATTAAGCAATATCAGAAGAGCTACCATTCAGGTTCTGGAGTTTCCCTATTCAAGAGTGTAATATATAGGACACTTTAGTAACTTCTCAATCATGTTTTTATAACGCCCTCCCTAAGGATCCCGAAATAATGTGAAAAGCTGTAGTTACAAATTTTAAGTCGTAAGACAAGAATAAATTATGTATGTTATCCCTTTCTGCAAGGCTCTTGAAGTGTAATGTCTGTGAAGTCCTTATTGAACCTTTCTGTAGTTACCTGGTCTTCCGCACTCCCATAATTACTGACTGGAAATTTGTTTGATACCCTGGGATTGCCAGTTAATGACGTTGCTTAGTGATCAAGTCACCTGCCCTGTCTGAAAGTCCTTCAGTTCAGTTATTTAGATACACTCTCAGGTATAGCAAGTACAGTCAGTTCAATGCTCATAAGTAATGTGAGCGCTTGAATTGCTGGTTATCGTTTTTCTTTCACATTCCCAGTCTCCAGGCTGACAGCAAAGCTTTATATTCCTTGCTCCTAACATGCACCTAGCAGGTGCACAGTATATTGGCTAATTATAAATATCACTTAAATAAATGGGCCAACAAAATTTCATGAGACAAAGAAACGCCAAATAAACCAAAAGAAATGCTATAAATCAGAAGGAGAAAGACAAATACTAGATGATTTCACTAATATGTGAAATATAAAGAAACAAAACAAAAGAAAAAACCTAGAAACCTTAGAAATCTGATTGAGGAATTGAGGCTACTAGAGGGAGGGGAGGAGGAATGAGGTAAGAAGAGGGTAGGCAGCCCAGTGAACTCTGGGGAGAATTATGAATCTTTCGGTGATGTGGCAACATATACCTCCAAAAGTATGACCCTGTATCCCTAAATCATGTAGTGTTTTATACCAATATACGTTGAAACAATAAAAAAAAAAAGTCATGTCAAAAAGAATTGGGTCATATCTATTTTCCCAATAATATTAATAAGAGTTTACATCTGTGTCTAGATAAGACAGTAGCACACAAAACAGAAACATTATTTGTTTAGGAACTTGTCTATAATAGTCCCTATGTACTTCTTTTGTCTACTTGGGGCATCAGGTTTTCAACAAATGTTGGTTAAATCTACCTGGATCATTTATTATATCTGAGTGATTTCCTTTAAGTACTTCTTAATGTTGGACAAGCTGTATTGGCATTTTGGTTGAGCAATGCTTTGTTGTGGACACACATCTCTAGCTCATACCCACCAAATGCCAATAGAATCCCCCAGACATGAAGACAATCAAGTGCCCTAACACTATGCTAAATACTCTTTTGGTAGTAGATACTATCTCCACTTGAGAATCACACAAAATTTCACCATAAAATAAAAGTAGTTGAAAACAATGAAACCAAACAACAAATAGTTCATATACTTGAACATATGTGTACACAGCAGAAACAGACACACACACACACACACACACCATCTCCAAACATTGTAGTGTCTTAGTGATTTAAATTATATTTCTCTTTGGTTATGTTGACTTTATATTTTCTGTATAATGCCTTCTTATCAGCATCCCTGCAAGACTTCACTGGTTGCTTTTTAAATTTTTTTTATTGTGATAATATTGCTTTACAATACCTCCTCAGATGCCTGTCATACCACAACCACCACCAAGGTATAGTGGGCAATGGTAGCCAGTGACCAATGAAATTCAGAGAAAAAGAATGTTATTTTAGCCCCTTATATAGAGTGGTGAAGGGCAAAATTTCCTAAGTCAGTTGATACCAAGAAACAATTTCAGAGAAGGAAGCAGCAGTGACTTCTGTTTATTTTATAACTATTAGAAGTGATTCATTTCTAGGCTCTAAAGGAAGGTACTTCTGGAATCCATAAGAGGAGATCAGGATCAGATCCATAGGCTGACATCAGGATTTTATAGTAACTGGTATGTATCAGGAATTCATAAAACCAGACTTGCCTTATTAGTAATTAGCCAAGCCAAGTGAGTGGAGACATTTTATTGGAGCGTCACAATTAAAAAAGGGCAATCTAAAACTAGTCATTATTTCCCATTAATAATAGGACATTCATCACTGAGATAATTACATTAAAGATAACCGATCATTAGGCTAATAGGATGGGATAATGCTCACTTCCCAGATCTATTCAGTTACTCAGAAAAACACCTGAGACTAAATACTCTTGTGCCAGCATTTTACAGAAGTGTTTGGGCAATGATGCAAAAAGCCTTTTTTGACGTGGTTCCAGGCACCACCTAGAGTCCATTGCAGATATGGTCCTGACTTCTACCAGTGAACCTCAATAATCTGTAGGAATCAATAACACACAAGCCTGTGGTGTCCAGTGAAGTAGAGGAACCCAGTCACAGGCACTGATGGATTTAAATTTTACTTACATTACTGGGCTTCCAGGAACATGTTAAGGATGTTTGGATGGGACAACTTTCACAAGTTGTGAGATCATCTCTTTATGTAGCACTTTATGGTAATACACTGACTCAGAACATGGCTTTGGAGACACCACCAATTGGCCCAAAATTCACCTCTGCTGCTTATTAACTGTGTGAACCTGAGCAGATCATCTCACTTCTTGACCCTTGACTTTGCTCATCTGTAATGAGAAAACCAATTTTCATAGGATCCTTATAGTAGTTTAAATGAGCTGACCTGAAAATTCCCAATATGGTCAAAGTGCTATTATTATTAACAAGATAATAGAACTTTCAGAAACAAGGAACTAACTGATCAGATACTATTTGAGTACTGCGCACAAGGAAATTTAAAGCCAGAATTATCTTGCTTCATGGAAGGGTGAACAAATATTATTATGAAAAAAAAAAAAAAAAAGGATTTTCTTGGAAACTGTAGTTGCTACATGGGACAAAATTGATTGATCTTTAACAAACACTGAAAAGTGATTTAATATGTGTCAGAGACTACTCTGCTCATTAACTAATATAAATGATTTTACCTGTTAAAATAATCCTTGAACTACCTTCTATTATAGATGAAGAAACTGAGACATAATCATCCAAGGTCACATAACTAGTGAGTGGTTGAGTCAGAATATGAACCTAGGAAATCTAATAAAGTCTATAATTTTAATTATAACCCACATGGTTTTATGTGGAAAATGTTCCAAGGACCAACTGCCATTTTAATTTTCTTTGAAATAAGGTATTTTAGGAAACCTAAGCACGGTGAGTCACTAAGGGATTTTTGATGTTTGTATATTTCCTCCAGGATTGAGTTTGGTGAATGAGTGATTGCCAATATTTACCTAGTTTGTCAAGTGATTTTAGCTTACATTTAATAACTATGTACAAAATAGTGGTTTTTTTTAATTAAAATATATCTTATCTAGGTTCAGAAGTATGCTTACTGATGGGCACAGACATTGATTGCCAGAGAAATAGACTGCAATATGTTGGTAAATCTCAAGTATCCTAAAGTCCATATTATATTAAAAAATTCAAAAAGAAAGAAAAGTAAGTCAGAGGACACTTTGAAAATCTGTGCTTAGACAAGAGACTATGGTGACGGTTCTTGGTTGACTTCGTGGGAATTTTATGGGGACTACATCTGAGAAGAAAAATCAAACATTATACAAAAATGAACAATGATGTAAATATATATATATTTAAATAAATATATTTAATAATAAAAAAAGAAAATCTGTGCGTAGAGGTCAAGAACTTAAATTAGTCACTGCAAAAGTGACACAGAGGCTATTAATTATTTAGTATATATAGTTCATCAGGAAATATTAAGTCCTCTGTATAGACCAGGTGCTCATTATGATTAGGAGCTGGTAACCTTGGAGACAGCATGAAATTTATAAAATTAAAAACATACCAGATAGAAAATGCAAATAGCATAGGAGAGTGGATCATTCTCCAATTGGTCTTAGCTCGATTGCCTTTGAATTGAAAGAATTTCCACTTTGAATTTATCAGTTTATTCATTTGATAATGCTTTTTATAAGAATCAATTTAGACATGTCAGAGTGTGTAGGGCTGTAATATTGTAGGGAAGTAGTAGTTGCGAAGCAGTGACTCTTAGAAACTTGATCTTGGAAACCTGAATGAGTACTTGAACGTTTTTTGTAGACATTTATTGTGAGTTTTCAGTTGACATATTGGAAATGGTCACTTTCAGTTTTTAAATGTTTCTTTTGCTAAATCATATAGATGGTCTAGGTAGAGAACTTTATGGTATAACATCAGTTTCTGTGTCAATAATAATTTATCTATCTATGAAATGGTAAGATGGAGAGCAACATAAAGTTTTACTCTTGCCTATAATATTTTGATTGTTTATAACTCTATTCCCTGAGTCCATTATGACAACAGGCTGCTTGTCTGTAGTTATTGTGAAAGTGGTATTGTTTGAATTAAAAATCTTCATAAATTTAAAAAAATGACAAAAATCTTACTTTGTGGAGGAATAATTTTACTCAAGCAGACTGCCAGATTTTTGTATTACAGGGAAAACTATTTTAAAAGTGAAATAAGTGATATTTTTAAAAAATGATTCTAACTGTTTCATTCGTGGGAAAAGTTTCATACAATGCTATTCACAGTTTCATTTCATTGTGAATTGGACCCAGTTTAATACATTTTAAGCTTTCATTTCTCAGGAGATTCAAAATAAGTAGCTGACCTCAATCTGACAGTCAAAGTGAAGCACTGCTTTTGTGAGCAGGCCTATCAGCACAAGGGTGTGTTAGAGTGAATGTGGTGTGCTGTGTAAGAGGAGGGGAATAATTCTTTCATCTACTCTGCTTTACTAGGACCCTTAGTGGGAGTACTCTACTTACCTTTCTTCACTAAGTTTTAAAAGGGACCTAGCAAAACAGCAGAGGGCCCAAGGATGAGTGAGAGAATTAATTCAAATGATCAAAAAATGGTTTCTGGAGGAGTGTTCTCAGAGTATCCCAATTACACGGGAATTTGTTTAAAACTGAAAATTTCTAGAACAGGTTCTGCAGAAAGTTCTGTGGTCCATCCAGTCTTGGAACCTTTGTATTTGGGGCAAATCAATTATTTGGAGTGATTATTTGGTAAGAGGATATGCAGAGGCAACTGAATAATGATCTTGAACTTAATTAGCAGCAAGCATTTAATAAGGCCCAATTAGAACTATCTGTATTGCTCTCAGTTATTAAAGAAGTGGGAAACATAAATGTTTTTGCTATTTGTTTACATATCAAATGACCTTTCTCTAAATTTTTTTTTAAAATGTGTGAAACCATTTTGATAATTTCCATTATTAGAAATGTAGAAACATCACATTTCTCAGAGAAAACAAAACCTTTTCTAGCACTGAAAGGACCTCTGAATAGCAAAATGGACCATATCCTCAGTTTTACAATTTAATAATGCAGTCATGAGTTTCTTATGGTTTTTTCTTACAATAGTCCTGTGTTAAAGATTAGAACAAACTATTAAATGCAACTCGGTGAAGGTGACCAGAAAGGTGTATGTGGTGGGATCCTATTATGTCCTTTTCTGGTCATTCAATATTGACCAAGCATTGAATTTGTAAAGCTTTGGACCTGCCTTCCTTAAACATTTCTTTTCTCAGTTGTTATTTGGAAGTCTGTTGGATAACCTGGAGTGCTGGTCTTCTAATTTGCTGACTGATGGCCTATCCATATACTTTGGAACTGAGACTAGCAAATAGTGGGATAATTATTTTATGAAAATTTAGTAGTAAAATAATCATTAAAATTTTAAAAGACTTACTCATCATAAAGCTCAGTTTGAATCAATATGTGTGACTTAACTATGAAAACAATGAGTGCAATCTTGGCCTGCAAGAATAAAGGTGTAGTATCTAGAATGGAGGGGAAGTTCTGCTTGACTCTTTTTAGTTTGTGCCATGCCTGGCAGTATAATTTTTGTAAGTGAATTCCCCTCTTTTAGAGAACTGTTAAATTGGATATTAACTATGATTGTGATAAGACTAGAACCATTAATTGAAGACCATAAGTGAAAGATCATGAGGTATAAATGAAAAAACCTCAATGAGGATATCTGCTATTTTTAATTTACCTTTTGAGTTTTATTGATTTGCAACTAGTTTACATAACTCTGTAATTTTATTTTTAATGGTTCATTCCATAGAAAAGGTGGTGTTTGAACTAAAACATGTCTCTTTATCAACTAACCACATGTTTTAGTTCAATATAAAGAAAAGCTTTCTAATGTTCTAAGAGAGAATTGACTGTCTGGGTAGCTGTGAACTCTTGATTGGTCAGTAGGTTGGCTTAAGTAACACTTAACTGGTTTATAGAAAGGACTCAGACTTCAAAAAGACAGTTGGCTTAAGTATGCTTGAAAGTTCTTTCTGAATTTGACATTCTCTGATTCTCTTATCTGTTGCTCTTACCACTCCAAGCCTATGCTAGTTGCCTTGTGCTTTTTAAGAGTTGTTTCAAGACTCTCTGAGATACTGGTGTTTATCTTGCCAAAAACTTTATCCTTAAAATTTCTTTATTTAAAATTAGAAGGGAAAAAATGGATTTTTTTTTTTTTGCTTTCTGAAAAGGAAATCTTTGTTAATGATTTGTTAATCTTTATAAATACATAACTTTTTGGTATATTTAGTATTGTTCACATTTGTTCATATGTTATTATCAGCCTGGGTCATTAATACTATCTCACAAACTATCATGCAAGAAAGTTTGGGACAAAGTATTATTTTTAAAGATTTATTTATTTATACATACAAGAACTGGGGTACAGGCTAGAGGTGCAGGGAATACGAGGATTCACCAGAACATAGTGGGGAACAGAATAGGTGGATTGACTAAATACACTGCTGAGGGGAGCAGCTGGTGAGACAGGAGAGGTCAGCCTGCTCCATATGTGAGTTATCTCCCTGGCTGGGGATCAAACTCGTGCTACAGTGGCTGTAGATAGCTTCATAGAGCTGAGACTTAACCTCTTGTGCCACCAGGAAGGCCCAAGATTATTTTTTATAATTATTTTTCTTCTGGCAAATGAGAAGTACAGATTTACTAAACTTGTGGTTTGAACACATATTAAGCCACTCGTTTGTTTTGAAGAGTCTCCCGGCAATTCTAGGGAAAAATGGGAATCAACAGGATGCCCATGTTAATTACTTTACTTTTAGCAGTGTGCTGTAGTATTTGGGTAAGTGGATCAACATATAATGCTCTCTAGTTTTAGATCAATTAAACTTTAAAGGTTCTTACATCAAATCATGGGTGGAGTAAGTTTTCTCTGCCCCAATTAATAGATTGATATCTGTAATAGAAAGTCAAGTCATTGATACAAAGACCAATTACTGATGGAGTCAGCAAAATTACTATGTGTTTTTGTATTTGCCTTACATAATTATTGACTTGAATCTTAGATTAGGTTGCTAGGAAATAGATTCTGAGATGAAAAATTGCATGTAGGAGGTTTTATGAGAAATGCTTTCCAGAAGTGCACTGTAAGGAAATAAGGAAGATTCGGGAAGAGGGAGAAGCTCACCCACAGTGAAACTGAGGCTTCTACAGCATAGAACCATTCCCTTCCCCTCTACCCCAGTTTTATCTAACTCTTTTGTCTCATTTCATCTTGATCACTGCCTAGCCCATAAGATGTAAGCATTGCATATCCTTATAAACTACTCCAACAGGTTCAGGTTGAATTATCTTTTCTAGTGAAACTTCAGGCATTTTATTTTCTCTCTAGGCAACTGAGAAATATATTGGGTTGGATAAACATGCATTTGTGTATGAAAAGACAGGACTCACCTCAGCCATTAGCTTAGTGTCTTCTGATGTCATAACTCCAGTTAATTTTATTGCAGGTATTGAATATGTGAATGCTCTGTAACCATCTGTCTTCAGTGTGGCATGTAATCAGAGATTTTGGTACTTCCGGATGAGGAGATTGGAGTGGGGATGCCTGATAGCAAGAGAAAAATAGCTTTTGGTTTCCAATTGCAAGTAAGTCACTGCATATAATGAGAACCTACTATTTTATCCTGGGAGATGTAATCTTTACTAAATCATGCTAAAGTTACTCAACACACCTCCATATTGTCTCTGATCTGCTTGTTAATGTTTTAATCATTCTCAATATAAGTTTCCAGCATAATAAATGGAGAAATGTCACTCTAATTATTCTGTACAATTTCATGATTAATGTGTACATTTAATTCAAATGACTGTCAAACTTTTTCATTAAATTATTTTATTTTTCTTAAGGAAAATTGCTTTTAACCCTCCCTACAAGGAATATTGAGATTATGCAAAATCAAAGAAAATTTATGAGCTGTGCTACTGTGTTGAAGACAGTATGTATCGTGATCTTGAAAGTCTTGATCAATTTCAGTAACTGAATTACCCTTTTCCTTATTTGATTGCCAAGGACAGCAGTAGAAATTTAACTTTAGAAGGAAATAAATAGTCATTTCCAGGAAAATGTTTGCGATTTTGAAATTGTTTGCATAGATGATACATATTAAACAAGTTAAACAAGGTATTCTTTTGCAAGTCTGAGAGTTATATTCACAAGTAATATAGTCCTTTAAGCACTGGGCATTGTAGTTAGAAAAAAATAATGTCTATAAACATTTGTCAAAAAAGATATTTTTGTTCATTAAAATTGATGTTTGTGACTGAAGCTGTGATGCTTCTAAACATAAGTTATTATGGTGTGATTTAAAATTCTTTGGAAGAGTAGTAGGAATTGCCTCATGCATTGACCCCTAACTGTGAATCTCAAGATGGCATTCTGTAATTATAAGAAATGCCAGGGGTTGGGTAGAACTAATAGACTTATATACTTCTCCCAGGATATGAGCAAAAACTCTGTGCTTCAAGGTGGGGCTACATGAAGTGTGATGATGTGGCCATAGAGAGCAATATAAAATCATAGTCCTGCTTATAATTTTATTGCATATCTCTACCTTGTACCTGCATTTATCCTTCTGTGACCCCAGTTTTCTTCCTGTGCTTTAGGTCTTTTAGTGGAATAAGTAGCAGCTAATAAAATTCCTCAAGTTTTGATGCCCTTAGTGGTATACATATTTACCCCTGCCCCCACCTTCTCTACATAATTAATTGAAGCTATTTGTTCTGCTCTATTCTTGCCCCTCTACACTAGAGAACTATTCAGCTCAAGTAATATCTAACCCACTGGAAAGTATCTGTTAGTTTCTTTAGATTCAATTTGGTGTATCTCCTCCCTCAACCTTTCTCTGATCTCACCCAGTGAGGGTTAATCACTCCTACCTTGGATCCCCCAGGCATGGCATCATTCTTGCACTTGTCCTTGTTCTTGATGCCCACTCCAGACTATCGACTCTCTAGATGGGAAACTTGTCTTATTAATTTTTTATGTTCTCAAGTGTAGCCATTTCCAAAATGAAAAATGCATATGTTTATGCTTTTTCTTTTTCTGAACAAATTAGTTAAAAATGGAAAGTCTTATGGGCAGTGAGGTAGGTACATCCAGTATGTCATCAAGTTATCTTTTTTCCATCTAATTCTCAGTTATCTCCTAGTTCTCTATCTCACTCTCATTACCCAGGTTCAAATTCTCATTTCTCACTGCCTATTAAAACTGTATCGTTACTGTACTTTACACTTCAAACTTGTTAGGATGTTAAACCAATATATGTTATTATTTATAGTAATTAGAAAAAGCCTGTTTCCTATGAACTCCCTCCCCTCTAGCGATAAATCTCACATTCACCTCCAAACATCTGGCATAACTGTTTATTAATATATCCTGAAGGATAACCTTAATTTATCCCTTTATAGCTAATAGGAAACATTCTAAGATCCTTAGCATGTTACACAAGACCTTTCATGATTGATCTATAATTTTCTGAACTCTATTTCTATTTTCTGCTCCAGTCATACTGTTTTTCTTATATAGTCCCATACAGTACAATTTCTTGCCTTGTGCCTTACTCTGAAATTTGCTGTTGCAAAAAATGCTCCTCTGCAATCCACTTTCCTGGATAACTCTTTCTCATAAGTAATATACTATAGAGATTAAAAGGGAATATGTTGCTATCTTGGCTCAATCACTTATATATTATTTAAGCTTGGGCAAGTTTCTCACCTCTCTGTGCTTCAACTGTCTTATCTGTAAATCAGGACTAATAATGGTACCTGCCTAGTAACTACACAAATGTAAGCTATTTTTGTTTATTTTATTCCTTTAGACTCAATGAAGAATTCTACTCCTTCAGGAAGCCTTTTAGGATTTCGCAGGAATGGATTAGGTCTCTTACCAATACATAATCCACAACATCTATTTTTGGATTCATTGAATTTTGTTGGAATGGTCTCTTTATGTAACTGTCTCTCTTCCAGACTATGAGACACTAAAAGGAAGAAATCATGTTTTATATCTTTTTTTAAAAGATTTATTTTTATTTATTTATACAAGCACTGGGTACAGTCAGAAGTGCGGGAGAGTGAGAGAATTCACCAGGGCCAGAGCAGGGAGCAGAACAGGCAGACTGAAGAAGAAGTACACTGCTGAGGGGAGCAGCGGGTGGCAGGAGAGGTCTGTGTGCCGTGTGGGACCCTCGCCAGCGGCCGGGATCGAACTTGCTACAGAGGCTGCGGGCAGCTTTGTAGCCCAGTGCTCAACCGCTGCGCCACCTGGGAAGCCCAAAAATCATGTTTTATATCTTTAGCATAATACTTGCTCACAGTAAATGTTCCAAATGTTTGATAAATGAATATGTTGTAGTGTGACAAATTCATGATTTAGAATCAAACGTGTTCCAATGAAATACTAGCTCTGCATTTGCAGACAAGAAACTTAATTTCTTTCAAGCTGTTTCTTTACCTAGAAAGATAATGTTGTGTTTTAAGAAGTAGTGATAGTATATGAGCTTACTATGGTGCCCGAATTAGTGTTTTTTTCTTGTAAAAAATATAATTTTATCTCAGAGTTAGTGTTAGTAGGTAGATACATTTTTTTTTTTCCTGCACAGCTATCTTAATACTAAAGAAAATATACTATTAGTGCTTGTCTTTTTCTAAAGCTAATCTCTTGTTGAATTTCCCCTGACTTGTTTATTGAATTCCTGTATTGTTCATAATAATACTCAGAGGACATTTAGCATTTTGCTGTTGTTGTTTAACTAGCTTCTTTGCTTTGCGTGGGAAATAGATTATAAGCTTTTTGAGAACAAAAATCATGTTATATTTTTATTTTCTTCCTTCCTTCCCGTCTATTACCTTTGCACCTTTCCCCTAATAATAGGGATCTTTCTGTGAACTAACAGATCAGTAAATAAATGTTGACTGATAGTGATGAGTGGAGGCCCAAGAACAGGGAATCGCAATTGGAATGTTTTGGCTCTGGGAGGGTCTGTCTCATTTGAAGTAAAATCTCTGCCAGCAGTTAATGCAGAGATTCCACTGAACATGAAGGGGAACATAAAATAAATATAAGATATGGCTCTTTCTCTGTTGGAGCTGACTATCTATTTGGCAAGATAAAGCAGTGCCCACACTGAACCATTAAGCAGCAGTACTGGACAGAATGTGATTAAGCCCACACAGTGTTCAGAAGAAGAGAAATTAGAATTCATGCAGGTGAATAGTTGGGAGTCTCAGAGTGGAAAGAAACAGAATCGCATAGCTATTTGAATGCATATGACCTGCAGGTGTTGTGATGAGTGATGAACCTCCGTGTATGTGTGTGAGTGCACAATTGTACATGATAGGAACATTTTGTTCACTCATTCAATAAACATTAAAAAATTAGGAACTAGTGTCTGTCTTGCTCAAATTTTAAAAAATACAAAAAGCTGGAGCGTTTCATGATACAAGCAAGAAAATACTATCATTCTTGCAAGATGATAGGCATATTCTCCCCTTATCCAGAGGCAACTTGGAGACTTAACCTGGATTTCATAGTGTCTGTATATCCTGGGCTATTAGTAAAATATGTGCTGACTGACCAGAATTGAGAGAACTCTGTTAGTCTATTAATCAGCTGGGTTTACTGAGGCCTACTTGATTTTTTCAGAGAAATTATTCTGTGATGGGGTGTGTCTATGCTCCTTTAGTTCTAGGTCATTGAGAGACTTGATGAATTCATTTGCTCTTGTGGCGTTCAGATGCCTTATATGTATGTAACATATAAAATCATAGCTTTGAAAAAGACCTGAGAGAGCTTAACAAGAGAGCACAAAGATGAATCTGTTCTGCTGCTTGCATGTTTTTATAGGTGATATTTTATTGGAAAACAGAAATGCTCATGTGTTTATATACTGTCTGTGGTTCCTTTTTTCATTAAAATGACACAGTTGCAACAGAGACTGTATGTTCCTTTTCGAAAAAAAAAAATGTTGACCTCAGTTTAATCCAACTACCTAATTTTAAGATGAAGAAACTGAATTCTAGAGAGATTAAGTGATTAGCCCAAGGTCATGCTGCCAACAGAATTGAGGTTAAAGCATGATTAATGCATGTTTTGAGGAATGAGGATGATGAATATCAAGCCACTGACTAGCTGTGTTCCAACAGTAAAATAAGGGAAAAAATAAATATGCTATAAGTCGATTTACCTACAGATAAAAAAAAAATGGGCTGGCTGATTTACTTCTCCCACTGAATCGATCAATCATCTTTATGATGTCATGCAGATATAGCTGAAGTAAGACTTGAATCAAGTGATATCACAATTTTTATGCAGTTAGGTCCCTATTTCCCAAAGAATAGCAGAATATTTATTGGTCAGCCTCTTGTGTCTCAGTGTTATATTCCTCAAAAGTTGAATTATTGATGGTAAGTCAGGGAAGACATTTTGGTAATTGCTGAAATCCTGAATGTATTAAGACTGACTAACTGTCCCTGTGTTCTGCTGTGGCACCAGCTGACAGTGATGAAATCTATAGAAGTAGGACACATTTCCATAACATGAATATTCAGGGTTGGTGATGCAAGAATTATTATTAAACCACTGGGAA